AAAATATAAATGTTTATAATGAAAATATTTTTTGAATTATACAATAAAATGAAACATAAACAGCAAAGTGTTAAAGACAAAAATATGATTATCCTTTACATCTATTTGTTTTTAAATTGATTTATACTGGCATTTGGAAATTTTGTATTGTACGTGTATTACGCACATACTTGTCACATACAAAATATATTTTGACGTACCATTGTACTCTTAAAAAGAAGGTTTGCACACGAAGAAGATTGTTTAAAGCATCGGAATGGGCATTAGCATTTTATATATGACAAGAAGTACGCGGTTCACCAGTCGGTACGAAAATGTCTTGCATTTATCAACGGATAGCAAAATGGCTACAAAACGGCAACGATTATCCCCTTGAAAAGGTACACACTAATATGTTAAAATGTTGAAAGTTCTATTTGAGAAACAAATAGATGTGCATACAGTTTTGTTCACTCTACCTGTGTCAAATAGTCGAAATATATAAGCGATGAAGGAAAAAATTGTTTCTGCTCGGTCGATACGCGCCAATATAATATTTCTCTCTATACTTCCCCAGTAAGCAAGTGACGCCACCTTAAACATCGCAAAGCTGCATCTTTATCTTCATCAAAATAGGTTGCGTCAGTTGTATTCGTAAATTGCCCAACTTAAACTTTATAGGCATGACTATTTTGATTGGTCAACGATTTTTAGAAGATATATTAAAATTACTGCTTACATTTTACGCATATTTTAAGAGTATCAAGTTTTTTTTAAATTTTAAATAATAATATATACTTATAATACGTTTTCTAGGAATTTTTTTCTCTAATGAATTATTGTTTAAAGAAGGTTAGTTTTCGGTATTTTTATAGCAGAAGTTTTATAACAGAATTAAATACTTAAAAAAGGCATAAAATTTGGTCATTTTTATATAAATCAGGTAAAATTAAATAATTCAAAGATTCAGCTTTAAACATGCAAATTATACTTCCACCGTATGAAGGTCCTTTCCATTTTAAAACAGGATCTATGAAAATACTTTTTACTATTACATATATTTCTTAATCGTAATAAAATTTTTGGAATTTGAAATTAAATCAATTTATTTTGTGTATATATCGACTACATCTCGATTATTGTGAATAGTTGATTTCAAAAATACCAAAGGAATTGAAATTCAAAATTGAAGCAATATAAAAGAAGTTAATCAGTAACAGAAAATGGTTTTAATTTTAATTTAAGTTATTAATTTTAATCCAAAATAATTTAGTTTATTTTACAAAATACAAATTTCATGTTAAATTAAGTGTGCAATATTAGTGGGTGCGGTCAGTTTGAGGATCGATTCAATGATTAAATAATCCTAGTGTAAACATTGAATAAAAATATTGCTTAGATGTTTGCATTACATTGTATGCATGACGTAAGAACGCAAAAACTAACAATAGTTTCGTAGTGAATCGCAAGTTTATTTAATAAATGCAGGGAATATGTGAATTTTACTATATATAAAAGTGTCACGATTATTAAAACATACCGTAGTAAAGGATATTTATCTCACTGTTTAACAAAATTTATTTTTTATCGCAAAAATGTGGTTTCTTTTTTTGCTCGCTATTTTCACGACTTTTGATTTTGCGACAGCTTCATCCGATTTTGATTTTGGAGATACTTTAGCATTAATTCTTGGGTTAGTTATTGGAATCGTTGGATTCTTTGCCTGCATGGGTGCATATGCACGTCATCGATATCGTATACAATCAGAGGTATAATTGTACATACTTCGAAATTCGTCAAATAGTAAGTATATCGTCCTTAATCGTTTTGCTCCAAATCATGAATTAAAAACTGCTTCGTTGTTGTCTTAATTTGCAATTTATAAATAAAAAAAAACCTATAACCGTAACAATTCCATTCATTTCTATATTGTGTATTAATATTTTTTTCATTGTAAAATTATAAAAAAAATTTTTTTTGTAAAAGTAAAAAACTAATGTCGTTATATACAATTTATATGAATATGATTTGAGTAATTAACAATGATTTTCACAAATAAGTGATATTTTAAATGTAAGCATTAAAATTTTGTATGTAAAAAGATTTTTTATTTCTACTATTTTATATATAATAGATTACCTTATTTGAATCATTTCATATGATTCCATTAGTAACTTATTTCATTTGAATTACAGGCTATCCGATGCATGTAAAATTAAGGAAGAAAATGCCTCAATTGGCTGTTTCAAATATTTTGAATAATATTATTATAACATTTTTATAAAGGTTGCTTTAAAACTAACATATATTAAAAGCTTTTGATAATAAGAGTGAATTTCATAATTTTGGATTATATTTGTAATAATATGCTATTTTTATACATTATATTATTAGTGTAACATAATTGTCAAACAAATGTAAATAAAAATAATTATGATACAGAGATATCAATTGAAGTAATCATTTGTTAAAAGGTTTGTGTCATATAATGTGATATATAATGCATCTAAAAATCAAACATTTACAATTTGCTGTAGATATTTTTTAATTTTCTTTATAGCAAGTTGCAATATGTGATTTAAATGTATTTAACACAATTCACATAAGAAGACTTCAAGGCCTTTATAATTTGATATGTGTAAAAATGATTGTGTAACATAAAAAACATTATTTAAAGACATAGTACAATACTACACTAAGTAAAAAGTTATGTATTGTTGTCTACATAATATATTCATAAATTTTCACAAATATACAATGCATTAATTAACATCATAAGCTACATCTTAATGCAATTATTTTTCAAATAAGGAATGGAAGATAATATTATTCTGAGCACAATCGTCTAAATCATTCCAATTTCCTCTGCATTAATTAATTAAAGTCACAAAGAAATCCATATCAATGGAATTTCTATGTATCTCTATTAATTATCATTTTTTTCATACAAGTTAAGGATTTAAATTATTTTTGTGTTACTTTTGCAATTTGTTGAATGCTGATGCATATCTAATCAGTCTTTACAAAATATTTCATAGAATCCCACACAACATAGCTTACATAAGTTTTAAAGCATGTATGAACTTATATACTAGTTAGCACAGGAAAGCTCTGATTATTTTTGTCTAAACATTTTCATATTTTTCGTTTTTATTACAAGCAAGGTAATTAAATACTAATACAAGATATTGAAGAACTTAATTAAATTTCTTTCATAACAGTTACATACAGTTCTTTTTAAAAAGCTTCTTCTGCATGCTCTAATCAGTGAGCATTAATTTCTGCACAGAATAAATTTTAGCATAATTTGTAAATGAATTTAATAATTCTATTATTCAAGACAAGATTTTGCTTTTTATATTCAAATACGAAAAAGTAAAACACTTCATTACACAATTTAAATGAAATCATTTGATAACATAATCTCATAACATCTGAGAAACATCTGTTTTTCACAATTGCATTTCTAAAATATCATATGATATATTTATATGCTTAAAACAGTATACTTATGTGGTACATACAATATATATAAATCAACAAATTGTCTATATATATTTGCAATTAATTATATGAATCTGTTAAATAAATTAAATAATTTTAATAAATTAGTTCATTAAATTCTGATCCATCAATATGTACTAAGACTTTATGTGTGAATTTTTAAATGTAGCAAAATATGTTTTACTTGTCTTTTTTGTTGTATTTTCTGAAAAATATATCGTAATACCTAAGTTTGAATGTACTAAGATCAATTCCATCAAGTTAGATGCCATATTGGTAGAAAAGAATTATGATGAATTCGTATTATTTTTTTTTTTTTTGTATGTAACAGTGCTGTTTGGTATTCTTTGGTAAAACAACAAGAATGTTTTACAAAAAATTACTCCAATTATATCATTATCATAATACTACATATAGTTAAAATCACATTGTGTATAATATATTTGGAAGGGAGTAGTCCGTTGCAATGCTGTTAAATGAAATAATCATTCCTATTGTCTTATTTCATCCATTTCATCACATTCAAATGAATAAATTTGCAGAATTAAAAATCAATTTTTACCAAACTATATCACTGTAAATTATTACATTAAACATAGTTTATTTTAGAAATTTAAAATACTCAGCTTTTAACAAATATAGAAGCTGTATTTTTATCGAAAGCCAATCCACCTAACAGTAAATGAATAATATGTACATTAAGTATTATATTTTACGCATTCTCTTTGAGTATTATCTAATAAATTTATTTAAAAGTAACTATATAAGAATAATTGCAATGTATTTCCATAAGAAATACGTACAATTATCTATATTATAATGTTTCGTTCAACAGCCACATGAATTTATTACCTGATGGATCAACTAGATCTGAGAATTGGTGACCATGTTTTTTTTTTGTTAAACAAATTGAAAAAATGCAATAACGAAATCATGGTATGCAAAACGTATATGAAAAAACATAAGAAAATTTATGAAATATAATATAATCATGATTAAATAATAATGGCTGGATATTGCAAGAAAAAAAATTCATATCCAATTTCAAAATAGTTTTAAAAGTGTAATACTGATAATAATAAATTCATGTCAAAAGCAGTAGTAATTCGCAACATTAAAAACAGCACATTGAAAGTGAACTGCAATTATTTGAACGAAATAAAAATAACATTATAATGATTGATAAACAGTAGTGATATTTTGTAGTTATACAAACAAGCTATTCTTAACTATATTGCAAAATGCAATATGTGATAGCACAGATGAGAATTTAAAATATATTTCTTGGGATGCAATGCAAGCATTAAATTATCTTTTATTTCGATATCATTTAAACATGTATGAATTTCATATCTATGCCATGTTTTTATTGAGCTTTTTTCTTTATTAAATTCTCAATATTTAGGATGATTACCCATTGTTTTCTTTTAGGATATGATTTAATCATCAAAAATTAAAGTGCTAAATAACAAAATTCCTAAAATATTCAGAGGAATGGATTGTACAAATGTATCTCGGAACATACTGTAAATAAAATGCCAATTTGTATGAAACAAACTTTGATAAATTAAATATGCGATAATAAAAATATTGACAATTGAGTCTAAAAAAGATAATAGTCGATATAATATTAGATAAGATAGATGGGACTGCTAACTAGTAACACATGACTTTTTTTTTAATCGAAGTAGGTAAAATCGCTAGAAATACATTAAAGCATAACAGTGACTATATTAATCATATTTCTTCTCTGCCTGACTCCTGCAATCACATACATGCACACATGAACATACATTCTCTCTTAGAAGCATTCAGTATACATTAACAGTTATACATATACATCGAGCAGAATGGCTGTACGCCATTTCATTCATAAGACTAGCTGAGGCCTGTACTAATATGGACTGTGCTATTAATGAATTGAGAGCAGAAAAGGTCTTTTAATAAGCATTTTCACTAAAGAAGGATATTTACTATAATAAGGTATAAGCACAGTACATGTAAAGGCCTCTATCCTCAATTTCAATATTTTATTCTTTTTTTAAATTTTTTGTCCGGAAACTTAATTCGTTCGTTCAAAATATTCTCCGTGTGTGAATCGAGTTTTCTTGTAACTTTTGCTGTGAGGCATATATCAAACATTAATATCATGCTCACGCGTAGACAGCGGGAATATTTTAGCAATTACGCACAGATGTTACAATATCGAATACATCCTAAATACTTTCATTCGCGCCTCCCCGCATACATATCCACGAGGACAAGGGTAGCAATACGTATTAGCAGAACTATAATAGATAATAACAATCGTAATAATGTATGATTCTCATACTAGTGGATAAGGGCAACAAGTTAAATAAAGAATGTATTACGGAAATGAATAAATCGAAAAATATAGACCATAACTTGCTGAATATTACGTTATTGATCGATATGGGAAGGAGGAGCTGTTGAATTGTCAGCATTCGCAGCGTGCAAAGGTTCTGCTGGCGGTGTACCGTCATGAGAATTTCCTATATGTGGAGTAGCTGGTGTAGCTGGCTGAGATTGAGATGCTCCGGGTGGAGCGTATATTAGTCGATAACCAGCCGGTAAAAAGAAACCGCCGTGTGGTGTACAGCTAAATGTTTGAAAGTTTGATAATGTTTGATTTTCGTGATACTGGATGTAACCCCCGCTTCCCGTTGAACTTGATATTGGTATGGGTGTGACTAATGATCCAGTGGAGGACACTGCGATATTTGTCCCATCTGGTAATATAGGTGTGAATTGATATTGCGTTGAATTTATGATTGCCGGATTATGCGTTGGATCAAGAGATTCTGCTATATCACTTGTATAACTACTAGATTGTTGAGAGGGCACATTTTGCATAGTTTCAGAAGGCACTACTGGAATTGGAATAACATAAGCGTGTGGTATTCCAGCTGCTGCCTGCTGCGGTTGTAGTTGCAAGGGTGTTTGCTTCAATTTTTGCATAGCTAATCTTAATGTTTCATCGGTATCTGGATAATTACTTGGAGCTTTTTGTAATGGAGTTTGGGGTGTTGTATTAAACATTAAATAGTCTTCTGTACCTGGAAGTCTAGTTTGTCCTGTTAGAAGAAAAAGCTACATCATTACAAGAGATGAAGAAGTGTAATACGAATGAAATATATTAAATAATTACTTAATGTTATAAATAAAAGATAATTACTAACCTGCCATGCTAGTTGTAACAGTATGATATAGCACTGGATGATGTTGATGGTGATGTTGATGAAGTGCACTTGCTTGTTGTTGCTGTTGAATCAATAACTGCAATTGATGTTGTTGAAATCGTTCCAATTCTTCTCTATGTCTTCTTTGTAGAGTTTCCAATTCCATAGTTTGTCTTATATAAAAATAAGATTAGTTTATGATTGTCATAAAATTTGATTCTTAAATTTTTGTAAATATGAACCTACTTTTTTATAAGCAATTGGTATTCTTCGCTTGGTGTCAATGTCCAAAATCTTTCATCTTTTTCTGACTGTTAGAAGTAAGATTAATGTTTTAATTAACAATATAAAGTACTGATACATTGAGTAATTAAGCAATATAATTAATACATGTGCTTACTTCTAAAACAGGAACGTTAACAGGCTGAGTAACTTGTGTAGGTGGAACAGAACCTTCGCGACTATGAATTATTTGTACTGCTATACCTACAGTTTATAAATATTTCATTTTTGAATAATGTATTCAGCATTCCGAAAGTTGACATTATACTGCTTACCCTGTGTATCATCTGCATGATAAACCTTTGAATCCTCCACATGGGCTTTTGGTATATCAGTATGTTGTTGGCTGGGTGGAACAGCATTACTAGGAGGACCTGCGACCTTGGAAACCACGAATCTTGATATTTTTCTAACAGGTTGAGTTGTACTAACCTTCTATTAAAATTTGATAATTACTTTTTGAAAGTACTTATCGCATATATCAAAATTTAAGGTATTCAAATATAATACATACTTCAGAAGCATTTTCTTGAGATTCTGTTTGCACTGGAGTGTTTGTATCAGAGCGTGATGTAATGACACTGGGAGTAACAGTAGCAACAGGCACAGTAGTTGCAGATGGAACAGTAGTCAGCAAACTCTGAGTAGACTGCAGCAATGGTTGTACTTGAACTGAACCAACAGCAGAAACAGGTGGTGTTAAAGGTTGTGGAGAAGCCGTTGGTAGAATCGATCCTCTGTGATGAATCTTTGCTAATTCTTGTTCCAATTCCTGGAGACGCGATCCTGGTCTTTGCGTTCGGACCTTTATACTCTCTTTGCTAGGACTCATAGTTTCTGAACCCATAGGACCTCCTACTGGTGTTGGACTATCGAGAGAGCAATCTACATGCTAAAAAGAAAACAATTTTATATATTTATTAATTATTAATTCGAATTTTCCAACCCAAGTACACTAAGTAACTCTGCTAATATAAAACTTACAGTTTGAGAAAGCGCAAGTTGATGAATTGAGCTATCCTGAGTTAAAACAGAATTTTCAACATTTGTTGTAACATTTGAATCAGCCAAAGTTGTAGCAGACTGTATTGTAGTCTGAGGTGACAAAGGGCCCTGTAACAAATTATTTATATTATTTATATTAAATACAAAAAATATATCTAATTTCTTATATTTCTTTTTAATTACTTACTATGCCATGTGTAGTTGAAATTGGCATACCAATGTTAACAAGTTTCTGTTGCAAAGAATGCATGTAAGCATCATATCCTCCTATTATCTGGTGATTGTGAGGAGTAGCTGGGTAACTTATAGGTGGTGTACCTACATTCAGTGCTTCGGACGGTTGACTTGTTAATTGAACAAGTTTTTGATGGAGATCTGCTATTGTTTGTGGACCTGTTCCACCTGGAATATTTGTTCCAGCAGTTGTATCTGATACTTTATCCAAAGAATTCTGTTGGCTAAGTTTTCGATGTTGTTGTTGTTGTAGTTGTTGCTGCTGCTGCTGTAACTGATACTGTTGCAATATTTGATTTTGCGTAAATAATGCCGAATCTACAGATTCAACAATCGTATGTTCCGGAGTTATATCATGGCTGGAGTTCTCATTTTCCGATAACAAAGGGTATTCAGCAGTAACACGCCTAAAATTCAAGTAATACAATATAATTTGTATGAAAGTGTAATGTAAACGAAGTAATATTCTATTAAAAATTTTTCAGTTTAAATATACATACCCAGGTAAATTGGTTCCTTCTTGGCTTTCTATTTCCGTCGGTTTTACTGAGAATTGTTGATCTGAAGGCTTTATTTGAAACTGAGATTGATCAGACAGAGCAAGGCCTTCTATGTTCTGAATATCTTGTATAATGTGCTGTGGTGCAGGAACAGTTTGTTGCAATTGTGGTTGAATTTGTTGGACATGTCTGGTTGGTGCAGTCTGCTGTATAACATTCTGATTCGTAGAAGTAATCCACTTGCCCTGTGAATTCAATGTGTGAACTGCCACACCTTGAAAATTTTGTTGTGACATTTGTAACTGAGGATCCATCTGATGGGGTGCGTTTAGTTGCATTGTTTGTTGCAAAGGCATTTGCGTTTGATGAGGTTGCTGATTGATTTGAAACGTTTGCGGAATTGCTTGCTGCGGTATGTTTATTTGATAATTATGCGGTAACTGCTGTTGCATTTGTATTTGACTTGCTTCCGGTTGAATAGGTTGAAAATACTGTTCAGACTGAAGAGTAGGCTTATATTCGAGTATTGTAGTTCCCTGGACATTTACAGTCTGGCTTGGCTCGTGGCTGGTTAAACAATGAGGAGTTACAGATTTTGATTTCGGATTCGAGAGTATATTCGCTAAATTTTGCGCTAAATCTGGAAGCGTCGATGAGACTTCTTTTGTTTTGAGTATAACTTTGGGAGCAACTTCAGTAGTAACAACTTGGTGAACAGGAACTGAAACAGGAACAGATACGTTTGCTGGAATATTCACTATATTTTGAGGGACTGTTTGAAGTTGTTGGACTGGTTCCAGGACAGAACCAGTCTGTGTTAAAGATGTGATGTTTGACCCATCTTGTTGGGGAATAAATTGTACATGTTGCATTTGAGGCATAGATGCATTAGGTACAATCATGGGTTGCTGTTTTTTATCATCCGTGATACCAGCGGTTTCCGAAATTTGAGAATCTGTAGACATGTTCGATGCTGTAGAAATATTGGAAATCCTGCGATTTCTTTCATCTATAAGGGCAGTTGGCTGCAATTGCGGAATCGGCCCAGACAGTATAACGTATTGTTGATGTTGTTGCGGTACTTGTTGAGGATGAAACTGTTGCAACGGCCGCTGAGCTTGCATTTGTACCTGATGCTGTTGTTCAGGCTGCATGTGCATTTGTGTTAAATTCTGCTGCATAGTGATTTGTTGTTGTTGTAATAAAACGTTACATTGCATGGGCTGATTTTGATACTGTCCTTGTAAATTGATTCCGCTTGGAAGAACTTGAGCCTGTAAATCTTTCTGCGTTACAGTTACATTTTGAGACACGGATGACATCTGTTGAGACGATTGATGCGTTATCGTTGTTCCTTGAACGATAACGTTGTGTTGACTAGACTGCACAGCGTTAACATTTTGCTGCATTTGTGACATAGCTGGCATTGTTTGCCCCTGTACAGCATTCTGTAGACCAATTGTTTGTTGCATTTGTTGCACCGTTTGTACGTTTTCCACTTGTTCCGTGACATATTGAGAATTCTGCGTAACTGTTTCGATGCCAGGTTTTTCTAGCATAGCAGCTTGCGTTTCTAAGAGATTCACTTCTAGATCGTCGTGTTTTACTGGTGCTTCTTCAGTTGCTATAGGTTGCGGTAATGAACTCGACTGCGTTGTTAATATATTCGATTTATCTGTACTTTCTACAGTACTAGATCCTTCTTCTTCGCTTGTAACGACCCTCTGTTCAACCACAGGACTGACTAAGAAGCGGGAGATTTTTCGCATTGGTGGTGGAGCAGTTAAAGTAGCTACTTCTGCAGATACTGAGGCATCAGATTGCGCTTCTTTATTCATTTCCTTTTCTTGTTCTGTTGTATCTTGAACAGTGGATTCTTTAGATTTTTCACTCGTTTGACTTATAAAAGTTGGATCATGTATTTGACTTTGAGTGTACGTTGTCGTACACTGATAAGATTTAGCTGTTTCATCCTTATGCATGTGATGTACGTCGGCAACTGTATCTGCAGAAGTTACGGAAACTATAGTCTCTTGAGTTGGATCAGTAGGATCACTCGGTAAATTCGTCGGTGTTAAGGTATCAGTATTTTGCGTGGAGGTGGATGATCTCCTGGATGCATCAGCTGACGTGTTTTCAGGACCCATTTGGCTGTCAGGTGTTTGCACATTTTGTTGCTTTTCCGTGGAGGTGGAGCCCGTAATATGAGAAAGAATTTGATCAATTTGCAATAATTTCGTAGGTGTGGAAGTGTTGGAAGTTTCGTCTCTCTGGAAATATATATAACATACAATTATCAAACTGTTCAATTGTTATTTTTTACCACAAAATGATTACAATGCACGTGAACAAAACAAAATTGTGCCATAAATCAAATAACCATTGCAAAGTACAATTGTATGGACTAGTTATATTAAAAAGTGTATTTAAACTTAATTATAATAGGGAAACACAAATAGGTATCCTTAATAATGAATGTATGTTTTATAACGGTACATTACATCATAACAAAATGAGTCTGAATAAATACTATTTCACTCATGTTTAAGGAATGTTGCATCTATTACTATTTTACAATTATCTGAAGTGTTATAGTACTAATTAGGATTATAGTTCTCATACAGGAATAGACTTTTCCCTGAAAATTTTTTAAATAAAAATTAAACGTGATAATTAATAATAAATGAAAAATAAAGTATGAAACACGCCTTTTCAGTACTCTAAAAGTAGCATTATGTATTGCCTATGGGATAAATTTTATAATATGCAGGAAATATCGTCATATGATACTGCAGTGCCTTAAAAGATACACAAATGTCCGAACACAATGTATCATGAATCGAAAAGGATGCGCAAACGTCCACGATTATACGACGAAATATAGGAAACAGGAAAAGGTACAGCGGGGACGATGAACTCACCGAACGGTGTCTACGATGGACTTTGTACGACGATCGGTGGCTGCTTTGACGAGTTAGTGAGCCATGTCTCACCTGCTGCGTCCAAAACGATACACACCAATTATACCTTGGAGGTACACCCTTGCTTTTTTTATGGGATCACGAGATATACACCTCGCGTATAACCACAACGTTATTTTAATATAAAGTTTATAAGAAATATAGTAATATTACTTTGGGAGAAGTCCTTACAACAAGAAAACTAGTCCTATGATATGCATTATGGACTTTTGTGTATCAGGTTGTTAAATAACAATCCATAATAGTAGTGATAATATTCTTTGTCAAAAACTTTAATTTCAAGATTTAGATTTGTTTTGGTCTTTTTAGATATACAAAAAACGAATTTCCTTTGTAGGGATTTATTAGTTCCATTATATTTTTAAAATAATAACATCTATAGAATGAAATGGAAAGATAGAAAATCGTTACCTTAGCTGTATCAAGACTGTGGTCGCGATCTCTAGGTCGACGACTTGTAACCGGACTACCACCGGCAGATTGATCTGGTGGACCATGTGCCACTAAAGGTAAAGCACGTGCGGGGTCCAAGCGCAATTGTTTAACAATATCTTCTATTAAATCGACGAACGTTTCGCATTGAGATTGTGGTAATAAATTTTCGGCAACCTGTTTAAAGAGAAAAATAAAATTGTTAATATAAATTTTAACGACCAAAAAATTTAATTAATATATAAAATTGTATCACTTGCTTACCAAATTGTTAGCAATATCAGTAGGTACCATGTCATCTCTATCGAATTTAAACGTTACAGTTTTTTGTTTGCTCGTGTCTAGTTGGCATTCAACAGTCATCGATTGTCCTTCATTGCTGCTTACAGATAAAACTGTTAATTTGATGCCTGGCTTCTTACGTTTCGTACCTGATCTTTTCACTCTAGATCTTTCAGATGAAGCGACATTTTCAGCACTTTCTTGAGTTACTCTATAAAAACAGAATATTTAATTAAAATTTTAAACAAAATCCATTTCAAAATGATCAGCTTCATAAATTTACCCTTCGTTTGGCACTACTGCTTGCGACGTGGCGCTTGCATTGCTCAAATTAGGTGCATTTCCTTGATCTTGAACGTTAGGAGATGCATCTGCTGGCAAAGATTGCACAGAATCCATTGTATCCTGCTTAGTTAAGGATGATCTATCTGTGGTAGAACACGGTTCCGTATTTGAAACGAAATGCTGCTGATGTTGCGATGTCGTTGTCGATTGTGCCGAAATGCCGGATGATATGGGTACAGAAGTGGGTACATTGGAACTTTGTGAATATTGCATTTGAACTAAAACGTTCTGTTGAGGTTGGGGTTGAACCGCACCGTTTGAAATAAGTGCAGATGCACTTTGCACATTTGGAATTGTAGAAGTTGCTGTATTTTGAATATGGGTTGCCGCTGACGTACTTTGAATATTTATATTGGATGCTACGGACGCTTGAACTTGTCCTGCTTGTTGTTGTATATAAGGCTGTGATGTTGGAGGCGCTGTACTTTGGGGGATATTTTGATGAGAATACATTTGAGGTGCAGGCTGGTTGGATGATAAAATTTCGACATGACCAGAAGAATTCGAACTAGTGTATGAATGATACATTTGTTGAGATATATTTTGCTGATACATGGGCTGTGTATTGTATCCAGAAGTTCCTGTAGCACTTTGTTGATAATATTGTTGATTTTGAACTGGAGGGGAACCCACAGGATGTTGATGTACTTGCTGAACATGCTGCATTTGAGGTTGAGAATATTGAACTTGTTGAGGTTGCTGCATCTGCTGATGCATATGTGGTTGCTGAGACAAAATTTGCATTTGAGGTTGCATCTGTTGCTGTATTGGATGACTCATCTGTTGCGGCACGTTCATTTGATTCAATTGTATGTATTGTTGTTGTTGGTGCATATGTTGTTGCTGTTGCATTTGCTGGGTTACTTGAGGAAATTGTGGTTGGGTTTGCACAGACTGAGGAGTGGAACATTGTGAAGAAGTAGCAGTTAAATTTTGTGAAACATGTTGAGAAAATTGTTGTTGCTGTTGCTGCTGCTGCTGCTGCTGCTGATACTGTTGTTGTAACTGTTGTTGATATTGTTGTTGTTGATATTGCACTTGCTGTTGCGAAACCTGAGGTACTTGTTGCATTTGCTGTGCTTGCTGAGGCTGAACAACAGATGTTTGTTGCTGCATCATTGGTTGCTGTTGAACTAATTGAACTTGTTGCGGTTGTAAATTATGTTGTTGGGATTGTTGTGCAACAGACTGCATTTGCTGTTGTTGTTGCAGAGGTATTTGGTTCTGCTGTAACTGCATTTGTACTTGGTTTTGCATTTGAATGCCCATGTTCGATTGCATTTGTTGCTGCTGTTGTTGTAATTGCATTTGTTGGAGTAGTAATTGTTGTTGTAACAGATTCTCATTAGTTGTGTTAACGTTATCCGCTTCTCGATCTAGTCGTTCTTTTTCTTCTTTGGCTTTACGTTCTTCCCTCTCTCGTAACAAAGTAGTGATTTGCGATTTCAACATTTTTGCTACAGCCTTAACATCTTCTTCGAGTATAAGGCTAGATTTAGCCATTTCTGAGGCTACCTCTTCCGCGTTGTCAGTTTGAATGTCAAAGTCAAATTGGATCGCTTCATTTTCTTTATGCTTGTTAGTACGTTTCTTAGGATCTAACACTCGTAGTCTGAATTCGACACGTGACAGTTCTGCATCCGCTACAGCCGAATCTCGTGAAACCATTTCCAATTTTAGTCCAACATCATCCGCAAAGAATTCATGATTCAAAAGATCTTTAACTAACGGCCGTTCTTCTTTTTTTAAACGGATACACATCTCTATAATTTCACGTACTTCCGGATTTTCCACTTTATCATAACTTTGCGGCTTCACACCCTATATAATGTAACTGTCATTTAGTATATTATTTAATATGCTTTACTAAATAAAGATTAATATTGTATAAAGAGTACAAAGTTTGATAACTAAATAAATAAATTAATTATTATTAACTGAGATCAATGTCAATTTACCGATACTACGCGTTTATATATTTGCGCTGGTCCAGTACATTCCGAGTATGGATATTCACTGGTAGCCATTTCAAGCATACACATTCCAAACGCATAAACGTCAACAGATTCATCGTAATGTTCTTCATACATTTCTGGTGCCATAAATTCAGGTGTTCCAATAACACTTTTTGCAAAACTCCGATTTTTAAGAGTAGCAAGACCTAAGTCGCCAATTTTTACACTTCCTGTTGTACCGGTAATAAAAATATTGTCACACTTTAGATCACGATGAATAATTGGTGGTGATCTTGAGTGTAAAAAGCTAAGGCCTTTTAAAATTTGTCGGCACCAAGATTTTACTACTTTTGGATTAATCCTTTTAAAGCGTCTTAGGTACCTGAATGAAGTTATATAAGTTACAATAATAGTTAGATTTTCCAAATTCTTTCACGAACTTGAAAACTTACGTTTTTAATGTTCCTGAAGTCATAAGTTCAGTGACTAGCACAATGTATTTCCTGCGTGTAAGTGTAACTTCCCAATAATCATAAAATCTAACAATATTTGGGTGCTGTAATCCTTTTAACATTTCTGCCTCCTCCCGAAACCTCAATCTTTCCGTCTTATTTAATTTTTTCTCCTGAAAAATATTATAATTGCCTACAAATGTATTTAAAAAGTATATATTTAATTTTATTTTCCTGACCTGTAACTCGCACCAAGCAACAGCTACACCAGTTTGAGTATCCAGACCTCTATATACAGTCTTAAAGCTGCCTCTGCCGATTTCTTCTTCGAATTTTAAAAATCTACCATCCGGCGATATCCCAATAGCTTTTTCTTCATCGTCATCATCTTCAACAGTTTGCACTTTAACCTTCATCAATAAATTTCGAACTTCTTCCATGGCCATCGCTTTTTGCGCTAATTTTTCATCAGCTTTAAAATTTTCATCAAGTAAAGGACCAATGAAGCCTTCAACTGCTTCTTCTTGCGCGACTTCTTTTTGAGGATCTTTTGCCATTTTGGTCTCATCTTGTGTACTCATATCTTTAACATCCTCCATTTCTGTGTCTAAAGGTGGTACTTTTCCTAATTTACTCAGAGATTCATGAAGTGCCTGAGCAGCAACAATATCACTGATACTGGTGCCATTATCATCTTCGTCATATATCGTCACTTCTTCCTCTACCTCTCTTTGCGCGTCTATATCTTTAACCTCCGTTTCCACTATTTCTTCTGATACTTTCGATGTTACAAATCTCGAACTTTTTACCACTTCCTCACTTTGTTGTGTGTCTTTTTTATCATCAGTCGCATCTTTTTCGGAACTTTTAGTTGAGTCTTCGCTCTCTGTAATATTCGTAGACTTCGATTCTTCATTAGACGTTTTCCGTTTTGTTTTTTCAGTACTTTTATTAGCTGCTGAACTCGTGGACGTATCTGTGGACGTACTAGTATCTGTGTCTTTCTCCATATTTGTTTCTTTTAAATTTTTACTATTTTGTTGCTCAATTATTTTTTCTGTAACATATTTACTTTTAGATCTTGCAACTTTGCTTTCATTATTGCCGCATTTCGCATTTATGGAAGAAGTGGAAAATACTTTTTGCTTATTTTGTGTAGTTATTTCTTCTTCGATATTATTTGCCGATGTTTTTCTTATAACATTAGAAGTTTTAGAAGATTCGGAACATTCTGACGTTGATGCTCTTTGTTCATTAGAATCTAATGATACTTTTTTGTCTGATACATTCTGTGACGATTCAACACCTTCTTCACTGATATTGCACTCCACGCTCGTTTCATCTTCATCCGATTTTTTTAATTTCAATCGACTAAGTGGTGTTGCTGGTGTAGAACTAGATCCTGTACAGTATAATAAAATTTATAAAACTTTCTGCATATAAAAACTATACATAAATATACATATACAATACCTGGCACATTGAACACATTTTCTGTTGCTGTAATAGCTTCCTCCGCATCACTAAAACTGCATTCATTTTCATGATCTAAAGACGACGAATTGAGATTCCGAGATGATTTTTCAGAAATTCGTAATGCAGACAAAGCTTTCTTTTTAGAAGAAGGTGAACTACTAGCAACTCCGTTACTTGTTATCGATAATGAATCAGCGTTATGATCAGTTCTTTGTGTTCGTACTTGCTTTTTGTAAATTGTTGTAGAGGAACGGCTTATACTTGATGTCTAAAAAAGAATAATACTAATATAACTTGTACTTGCATTGAGATACTATTTAGATGCAAAGTATGTTTTTGATTTGTAAACATACCTTTCGATCTCCAGAACTATGGGCACTAGTGCCAGCTTGTGAAACAATAGATAATTTTCTTTGGCGTTTGTGATTATGTGAGTGATTATGGATCCTTTGAGTTGTTACAACTGAACAAGGGCCTCCTCCTTCCTGAGAGGCTAAGTGGCCCACTGCCAAACTAATCCCTCCCTGACTACTGCTACCTCCACTGGCCACCAGCTTTGGACATAAACTTGACAGGCCACTTCCGCCTGAAGATCGTTGCCTATTTGTCTCATACCTAAAACAGTATTAAAGATACTACATAATTCCTGCATTATATGCTTTTTTCTAAATTGCAATTTTTTCATTAAACATAATAAAATTCTTCTTTAAAGCATTGTTTTTATCATAAAAGATTTTGTATATTAACACTATAATCAAAGGTATAGATATTTTATGTTAATGCAAAAATAGTGTATGAAAAATATTTTTGTTTTATAATATCAAATATAGATGTGGACTATAGCAGAAATTATAATTAAAACCAATTAAAATGATGTTCAATATCATAGAGCAACATATCATTGTTGCCTTATGAATATGAAAACAAAATGAAAATATTATACACACGCACAAACATTTTGCAATTAAATATCATTTATTATGTAACTATGAAGAATGAGAAATCTAAATTAAGAAATCAATATTTAGCCTCATCAGTACTAAATGTACATGCCAGCTATGAAATTGTTATATTACATAATATCAAAATGTTATGAATGATGGTGAAGTACTACCAAATCTCAAAAAGAGATGGAATATGGAAAATATATGAAAAATAAATTGAAGATATACACAAAGTTTATGATAATGATGCAACTTTCAAACATAAAAAGCTAAATTGACAGCTCTGTTAATGAAGTATTATTTTTCCTGAATATTTAAAAGGCAATAAGTACTAATTGATTTATTTTACATTGCAGTATAACAATAGCATAAATCATAATTACTAACCTTTGAATACCTACAAAATTTCATACTTGAAGTTCAGGGTCAGTAATTCTGAAAATATATTGGAATTTATACTTTTACTTTTTTAATGAAATTTTCTAATTTTATATGAT